CCAAACTCCGCTTTAGTCTTCATTTGTTCGACTGACAGCGCGATACTGCGATGACATTACAATTTAAATTTCGAATAGGTTGACTTGGGACATTTTTTTCGTGGTTTTTGTATTAGACCCGTCCATTTATTTGTAAGTCAATGCCTTCATCAGATATTTTATTGAAATCCAGTGTCTTTCCCAAATCATCACAGTCATAGAATGCCTTCAAGTCACCTTTCACATTTTCATAGAACGGCCGGACATCGTTTGGTATCAAAATATAGAATTTAGCTTCAACTATCTTACCCATAGTGGCGTTAAACTATCCATTGTTATGGTAATATGAAGATCTACCACTCCCACTTGCTTTCCTCTCAACGTTTTCTGTATGCTAAGTAGGTACCTGATAACTTTCCTCAAAATTTGTTCGCATATAAATCAAATATTTTACATCTTTTTTCGGGAAAATTTGTTTTGTAGTAAGCCAATTTCCTTTTTGCTTATGTTACACTTTTCGATTAATTTTATACCCATTTCTATCTGTACCGTTCTCAAGAACTTGTCTGATTTTATTCGCATTACTTTTAATGAATTATTCTGATGAGAATTCTGCTGGGATATCTGAAAGAACCGCAACCTCCTCGGTTTGCTGAAGATTTCGCGGAGCGACCTCGGCACTCCAAGGTACTTCGCCCTGTAGTTGGCCACGCCGGACTGTAGTAGGATATGCGCGGCCGTTTCCTCCCCCTCCCTGCAAACTCTGCATATAGGGCTGTCCGTGATACCTAAATTAAAAAGGTGTTTATTGTATGGACCATGGCCCGTTAGAGCGGCAGATAGAGTGCGCAGGTCTTGTCTTTCAAGTTTGATTAATTTTCGAGATAGACTAGCGTTGAGCGTCGGGAGTGCTTCTCTCGCCTGTCTACAAACCGTAAGGGTTGTCCATGTGTTATTATGAAAAGATTTTGTGCCTTTGCGTATAGGTTGTTCTTGACCACTGGCAGAGGAGGGACACTATGGGTTCTGGTCCTACAGCGTCCGTCTCAGACTCTTTTTTGGCTAGTTCATCTGCTGCGTCATTGCCACGTGGGCTGCTGTGTCCTTTAATCCACTGTAGAGTTACGTGGTTGTGTATACATACCTAATAATTTCTTGTTTTGAAGATCTTGCTATGACATATCATTTTGAGCCTAATGCTGTGAATCTTACCTTGAATAATATTATTGTCATTTGCATATATAGGAATCCATCAAAATTTTAAATGACACATTGAATATTTTCTCGAGAAGCTTGATTTACTGCTATATAAATGTTGTAATAGATTTCCAAATAAAAAATATATTTTGACAGGAGGTTTCAATATGTAGGAAACAAATACACATACTACAAGGATGTTTCATGTTTTAAATAATTATAATCTAATCCTACATATTACAGAGCCCACTAGAGGAAAATCATCTTTGGAACTTATAATCAGTAATATCGAGGACGCGAAAGGTTTGATTACAGAGTTGTTTGATTACAGAGTTGTCTGATCATAATACAGCACAACTCCTGAAATTTAGAGTTAGCAAAAAAACAAAACTTCCTAATATAACTTTTACCTACAAAAGACGCTATTCCAGCGGAAATATATTAAAGTTTGTAGGGCACTTACGCAATCTCTCTTTTTCAGATGTGTATAAACATAAATCCTTGAACAAAGCCTTTGACGAGTTCCATGAGTTATTCTGCCTCCTATAAAAACTCTGTTTTCTAACTATAAAAGTTAAATCGATATTCACATAAAAATCACGTTGGTTAACAAAAGGTCTGAAAAAGGTTGTACTCAAAATAGAAATCTCCGTTTTAACTATTTATTACACACGCAAAACTACCAACGATAAATACAAGTATATACATTATAATAAATTACTCAAAAAATGTATAAATTGTTCTAAGAGTATGGCAAACAAAAAATACCCAAATACACTTGTTAAAACATAATTGCCCGCGATCTATTATCTACGAAAATTACCTATCTAGGAAAATTACCTATATAGGAATACCAATAAATATTAAGATGCGAAACTGTGTCTTTTACCTTTTTATTTGTTTGTTTGTGTCTACTTTCATTTCGAAACGGAGCGACCGATTGACATGATTTTTATTTTATTTATTCAATAAAACAGGACAAATATATGAACGAGACGGAGAGAAATATCGAATCGAGTTAGTTTGAGCAATCTCTTAATTAATATTAGTTGATGTTCACAAGTTGTAGTCGAGAGTCGAGAGCTCAGTCGGTGTCTGAGTCTTCCTAGATGAAATTACAAATCTCCCTCTAAGCCTCTACACAACGCCCCCGTTTTTTTTTTCTGGGTCTCAAGTGACAATTGTTTGTTTACATTTTTGGACTTCGACTCGATCTCAAAGTTTAGCGCCTTAGCCTGCCCCGAAAGACGACAAATTTTATTAATTTCAAATTAGAATAGATTTGTATTATTTCTTTTTTTAATAGATTATTCCGATTTCCTTCAACTCTAAAAATATCATATGAAATTCGACTGGACAATAAAAAATTTTAAAAAGTTTTCGAAATTTTTGTGTTAATACAACACCAACCTGGCTTGATAAACCGTTTAGAGTCTTGCCCAACGCTTCACATGTTTCCTTATAAATTTTCGCCCTCACCTGCAGAAGTGGGTGAAAAAATCGTACTTCTTAAGAAAATATTTGTAGGGAAATCGAGCAATAATTTATTATAGTTTCTTACTCCGTATTTAAGAACCAGTTAAGTACGCGCAACCTCATTTACGTAAAGTAGGTATACTTATTATATTGCAGACCAATTTATAAATAAATTGATTGTTTAACCTGCTTCTCAATGAATGTCGTCGCATATCAAATAACCTCTATATTTACACACTGTTTATGGACACTGACTACAAACCTTACACCTTAGATAGGTATTAGTTACCATTCCTAAATAAAAAAGAAAGAAAGACAAGTACTATAACAATCAACAAAATTCCGTAAATAAATAATATACTTAACGTAATGCAAGTTGCTACGCATGTTTAGTATGCATGGTTATGGTTATTGAAAATATTATTATCATTTATTTTTATGGTGAACTGTAGCACCGTATTCGCGGGGAAACTGCACGTTTGGAAATTACGTGAACTTTCTAGACTTTATTGGGTGTTGGTCTCCTGCAAGATTCCTATACTTAGCAATGCAAGTGCAACTACACGAATTGATTTTTTTTTTCATGATATCAAGTGATGGGATGAACAAGTCGTGAGCCTGGTGGAAAGCGACACTTGCGAGGCTGTCCGTAACAGACGCGGTGTCACTCAGAGGTTTATATCGCAAAGATCGAGGGGCACACCCACGCTGCGCTCGTCACTTCAGCAATGTGAGCATTACGGCGTTCCGGTTACGAGGGGTAAGGGTGCTGGTGAAATTACAGGCACATGCGACTTGTCAACTTATGTCTCAGGGTGACGGGCGCAGTGGCAGTGCCTCTCAGATCTTTGTGTTTTTATTTATTTATTTGGACAATTTGGCGACTCGTTCGTCCCATCACTTTGGTCTCGTTAAAAAACCTATGCGCTTTTTTTTTAGGTGTTTGGCTTCTGTCCCATTGAGGACAATTCTGCCAGTGTCCGGGTTGAAAGATACACGGTATATTGAGTTTTCATTAACCTTAAGTCACTGACTTTGATTACTGAATATATTGTATTTAGGTATGGGCAGCAAATTTTACCCATCTTTTTTTACGGAGACGGACTTCTGACAAAATGGCCGCAGTGAACGAAATGTCTGTTTTTTTTTAACCGACTTCAAAAAAGGTGTAGGTTCTCAATTCGGCTGTATGTTTTTTTTGTATGTATGTTACACGATAACTCCGGTTTTTGTGAACCAATTATCATGATTCTTTTTTTATTGGAAAGAGGGTACCTCCATAGTGGTTCCATTTAATTTTGACGAAAATCACCCACCTCTAAGGGTGGCTGTTCACGCACGAAGATTCATTTTTATAAACAGCGCCTAAATTTTAGTATAATGAGCAATTATTTTATTGGTCCATTTTGCTATTCTGTAATTCAAGGCTTTTTTCTCTCAATATATTTTGAATAGTGAGAACCGATTTTTATTATCTCCTGTGTCAAGTCCCGTATAGTGGCGAACTAGGGGACGGTAACGGTTTTCAATAAAACTTGGTAATTATATGTTATTCCAAGTACTTTTGAGGTCGGTTTTTTTAGTACTCTGCACTGATTAATATTGAAGACAATTTAAATTGAGTAACGTTTAGGAAATGGAACTATTTTTTAACCGACTTCAAAAAAGGAGGAGGTTCTCAATTCGACTGTATGTTTTTTTGTATGTATGTTACGCGATAACTCCGGTATTTGTGAACCGATTATCATGATTCTTTTTTGTTCGAAAGGAGGTACTTCCATAGTTGTCCCATATCATTTTGAAGAAAATCATACGGTTCGGTTTTTTTAGTACTCTGGTACTGTTATATATTTTATTTTTCAAACAAGCCAACCTTTCGGGCCGGTCCCACGATCACGGCTAACTGAGATGGTAAAATCATCAACCATGTGTAATATTAACACAAACCGCCCTAATTCTCACAATAGTTAAATATAATTCGAAATAATACTTATCGGTTTCTCGCGAAAAAATGTCAGAAAATTCAATTATTAATGAAAAATTGAGATCTAACATCGGGCAGCATACCTAGCTTATTAGATGCCTTAGTCTGTTCCGAAGGATGAAACATTTTAGAATTACTTTTTTTGTAGAGATTTATTGTTCGAGGCTGACCGTCAACTTGATCAATTCAAAGTAACGATTATATTTTTATAGCGTATAATAAACTGGATTTTTTTACTACCCGTATACAGCTCCAAAATATTATAACAAAAATGTATTGGATTCTATGCATTTTACTTTTACAAAATTTGGTTGAGTTTATGGGTGAAAGCGTATATCCTATAAATGGTGATGACGTGTTTCGATCGGGAAAGAAAAATACTAAGACCACTAAGACCGATTTTCGACATTTCGACTTATCCAACTCGAGTAGGTATAAAAACTCCTTATAACTAATGCATTTGCAGTTTAGTTACTGGGTAACGGACGACCTGAGTGACGATTCAGATACCGAGAGGGAGCGTAGGTCGTTGGCTGCCCGATGCAACGTGCTGGCTCGCAGGTTCGCGCGCTGTACCGAGCAAGTAAAGATTATACTTTTTAAAGCGTAGTGCCAGGTCTTTTACGCGCGCAGCCTGTGAACTAGGTTTACGCAGAGGGCATACAACGGCCTACGCGTTCAGTATAACATCGCGTTCCGGATATTGATGGGGTTATCACGTTTTTGTAGTGCCTCTGCTATGTTCGTGGAGATGCGGACTGACAGTTTCGCGGCGATAATGCGCAAGAGGTATGGCTCACTGATGCGGCGCTTGCGGGGCAGCCCCAACCGTATCCTGGGCGTGCTCTCGGAACGCGAGAACTCATCTAAGCTCGCACACTGGTCGCGATTGCACGCAGTATTGTAATACTAACATTAGTCATAACATCACCTGTATGCTAACCATATATAGACAAAAAGTCTGTAATAAATTACCTATACTATTATGGAGTAATTTATCTTAGCGCCAACTAAGCCACGAAACGAACCAGCGGACCTCACGGATTCATTCATGTGCTTGTTGTTGAATCTTTGTAATTAGTTTTCAACGACTTTTTAGCTAGAACGCCATCTATGAGAAATCGATGAAAGTATTTCCTCACCCAGTTAGACCTTTACAGCTCTGGCTAGAGATGTCGCTGTTAATTGTATTTAAATATTTATTGAATTGATATTCAATTATTTTTGTGAAATTACTCCACTAGTTTGTTATGATTATTAATACAAAGATCGAACACTCAGAAAAAGTCCTTCGATCCGGCCGGATTCGAACCGACGTCTCTAGCATACCGTGCCAGACGCTATACGAACTAAGCCATGGAACGAACCAGCTTTTTTTTTATTCCTTTTTTGTTTATCGTGCAATATTATTTAATATTCGAGTATTGTATCTGAAATATTATTTAATAATTACACGATAATATACTTGAATATTTAAGTAATAAAAATTTCCAAGGAAATTAGACAGTCAATAAATACTAACTAGTCCGAGAATGACCAGGAAACGGCGAGAGTTTAAAATAGATAATAATACTAATATGCCGAACAACCACACCCATTACCTGGTCTTCAACTAGGGAATTCCCTGTACTATGAGTATCAGAGTAAAGGAATTCACTCTGGGGCACTTCCCAGAACACCCAGACCAAAACCTACTTAGAAAAGTTCATTTCCCAAATTGATTCTTCCGGGATCGTATCCGGGACCTCTTTATCCAACGCCCATAGCGCAAACCGTTGAGGCACCGAGGTCATCATTATTACAAATGTGGTCAGAAAATGGAGAGCCAGGCTCTTTCGGTACAGCATTTTTTATGATACCAAGACGGAACGGTTATATCGATAGCCTGGTAGTAAGCGACATGCCTCTCCAAAACAGTTGCAGTGCCGCTCAGAGGTTTGAATAGCAAAGAACTAAGGGGCACTACCACTGCGCCTGTCACCTTGATACATAAGTTGAAATGGCCCATGTGCCTTGTAATTTTACCACACCGAAATACAGTAATGGTCACATTACTGCTTGGCGGCAGCAATAGGTAAGGTGCCTCCCCTGGACGTACTCTTTCACAAGGAACTCTTCTGCTAGCCTCCTCCATTCCTCACGATACTCTTAGACCACTTTATAGCTCTAACATTGACGTTCTCGTTTATTTCTTCCCTGTATGCTATTTTAGATCTTCCTTACCTTTCTCTCTCTTTCTATCTTCCCCAAACTTACCTTCAAATATAGAAACCATACTTTTCCAGTATTTTCATCACTAGAAGACTACCAATTCGACGCAAAGGAGATAAGCGAGTCACAATATCCATGGATTGCTAGAGTCGTACACTCGATCACAAACGACTATCCCCACGTTTGCACGTGCTCGTGTATTGATAAATTTATTTTCATTACATCTGCTAGATGCTTGACTATGTAAGTAGTTTGGCATATAACGCAATTTTCTGCGAATGGAACTTTAGAGAAGGTTATATTCTAAAAATAAGTATAAAGGTTCATACAAAAAGAACATTCTGAGAAACAGACATTCTAAACAGAGTACACATTTTGGACATAACGGGACGACCAAGTCATGCGCCTGGTGGTAAGCTACACATTTTTCCATAACAATTGCAGTGCCACTCGAAGCTTCAAATCGCAAAGATCTGACTGCACTGCGCCTGTCACCCTGAGACATAAGTTGACAAGTCCCATGTGCCAGTAATTTTACCCTTAAAAACAGGAACACAGTAATGCTCCCATTACTGTTAATTAACCTATTATGTCCCACTGTTGCGCAAAGGTCTCCCCCAAAATCCTTCATTGCTCCCTATCTTTGGCGATCTCCACCTAACTCTAAAAAAGGTCAACAGTCCATCTTATATCTAGATGGCGCTGATCAATAGCCTAATAGTAGTTTATATTAGGGCGCGTTCCCATTATGTCGTGACGACACTTAGTCAAGCAGTTTAATGTGTCGTGCCTTGTACATTTAAATGAAGTTGTCCACATATAGTAAAACACAATTAAATGTCGACTCACGCCAGTGTAGTAGTCATTTCACGACTTTTTTGACATGACGACGACAGATTGTCGTGATAATAGGAAGAGCTAGAACTACAGTCGTTCAACGATAAATAAAACGTCACGATAAAAATGTGGCGACAGACATAATCGTAGCTTCAAACGATTCTGTCGTACAAACGACAAGGCGGCTGCCGTGAATTAATAAATTGTCGTCACGGTCTAGCAGGAATAGCAAGACGTCCACGTCCACGAAATAAGCGTCCACGACTCCGTCACGACAAATAGTCGTGATATGGCTATATAACAGGCTAGATATAGTATAAATAAAACGTTACGACATAATGGGAACGCGCCCTTACGTAAATGGCCGTGGATATCTATTTATTCCTCTTTAATAAATATGAAATATGTCAGTTTTTTTTTGTAATATTAATGAACTAAAAAACTTGTTTTTAACTTTTGACTTTTGACGTGTCAACAGATGGCATTGTGTTATAAACTAATTTACAAGTTAAAGCTTCCTTATGTAGGTAGATGGCGCTAATCCTAAACAAAAGACTAGCCGGCGCTCTTTACATAAAAATATTAATGTGCAATAAGCGCCATCTAGTAGATTTGTTTGTTATCGCTAGATTAGAGTAACTTTGATAGATTTAAGCTTTAATAAAACCAAATTAGTTACAAAAATAGCTATTTGGTACTCGTCACGACATCTTGTGTACCAATCGATATTAAATTCCCGTCTACGCTAACTTGTATCGCTATTTGCAGTCCTTTTGGAATATTGATCCATGATTCATATTAATTTTGTGTTTTGGTACATACATAGGTAACATCACAAATTAGAAAGCTACTATCATTGACCTACCAACAAAGTTTTGTTGTAGATCAATGGGTACCATTCAGTGGCGAGGCACGAAAATGGTCGTCAGTAAAGTCGGAGCAAAACAAAAACCACATACAATAACAACAAGTGGCGCCTGGGCGACACTGAAGTACATTTATTAGCACACAAGATACCAGTACACTCCATTTCACTGGATAAGTTACTGTACGCCTAAAATAGAGCACAGTAAATTACTTTAAAATATTTTTGTAATATTTACTAATACGTAGGCAAGCCGGTGGGAATCGAGGTATATGAACGCCTCGCCACTGGTACCATTATAATTCATTCATGGTTTGTACTCAAATAAATTTTCAGCCTACGAGTATATTACACAAGAGTCATATACAACGGTCACAAATTCCCCGCCAAAGCTTTTATTACTCCAACTAAAAGAACCAAACAGAGTTACGACGACATAGGCTTCATAGTTGTTATGACCGACACGGGGTACAATGGCAAGTGGGACACTGTACGGGTATACGATAAGAAACGCACTGATGATTATTGGAGTTGGTTTGGTGAACTCTTGAAGAAGGAAGGGAACAAACACCATAAAGCGATTGGATTTGCATTAAAGAAGAGGGTTTGTTTACTTTTTTTACTAAGGGAAGTCACTAGGGTACACAAAGCATTTACAAGAATAACACATGAAAAAAAAACGAACACAGGAGCCAATTATAGATCTGTTCAGACATATACGTTATTATTTACCGCTGTGGGTAGCGAAAAATACCGTGTGGCCTACAGCCGAATATTTGGATGAAGTTCCGCGGCTAGAGCGAAACCGGAATCTGTCGGAATACCGCGCCATATCGCCCAGGTAGGCGGTTAGTGGTGTTCACATGTGAAAAAAATATCGATATATCGGTACAAAACATCGATATTTTTGATATATCGTAAATAATTCTAAAAGATAAAAGGAAGGAAATTTTAGTAAGGGTAAATAAGTAAAACCACCAGCTTTGACACAATAATCAAATGTATATCGCCCGCACACAAGCAATTTATTGTGTGTATGGCTAGCCAATGAGAATATAACCACTACGGTACTCTGACGGATGACCAGCGAATCAGAATTCCAAGTGCGTATGGTTTCTGCAAGTTAAGTTAGTTAGTTAAGAGCACCGTTCTTATAGTAAGCGGCATAAGTTGGATTTAAATCTTAAGTGTCAAGTTGGACGTGATCTTTACCCTGTACAATTTCGAATTGTATACTTTCAACTTTGTACAATTTTTCATGTATCGAACAAAATATATCGATACCGAATGATACGATAATATCGGATTGATTCGATATATCGAGGGCATACATCGATATTTTTTTGAATATCGATACATATCGAGCACTCCTAGGCGGTATCTTATCGCTTGCTTTGCGAAGTATCGCCTCACGATACAGGATCAGTGGCAAATTCATCCTTCGCAAACCCGCAAGTCAGTTATATAGTGACGATTAATTAACATAATAATAATAAATGATAACGAATAATGGATTTAGCAATATCCGCTTAGGTGTGAACATGTTAAATGCTCTAAGGCATAGTTTCCCAAAGTGGTCCCTGAACAGTCCTAGGGTAGAGTGAGTCCTAGAGTCCGCAATTGCGGGGCGTTGATGCTGTCCAGGGGGTGCTACCGCATTTGAAAAAAACCTGTATTTATATAAACTAAACTACGTACCTATATAATTTATTTTCCTTGTGATTTTTTTTGTCAAGTTAATATAAAAAATACGTTTTCGATTATTTTTTGTAGTGGCGGGAGTTGAAAATTTTTTACCTTACCTGTGTGGGTGGTGAACCAAAAAATTTGGGATAGGTTCCCAAGTTCCAAGGTGTGAACAGTGGATATACTCACTCCAATTTTGCTACCCACAGCTGCAGAGAATAACGCCTATATAGGAATAGAAACAGAAAGGCCTTAAAGATAACTTATCTACACCACAAAATTAACATTTCGCCTCAAAGTTGATTGATGTGATTGTGGGGTACAATAGGTTAGGTACTAATTATAATTTTATTTGTAGAGATATTTAATTTCGTCAACTATAATTAATCCACCCAATTGAAAGCAATGCCTACAGCTTAACTGAGTCGATTCCTATGGTAGCTACCTCAGGAACCGACTATTACACATTTAAAGTATATTCCTTCGACTCGACTGTATTGTTACTTTTTATTGTTTTATTTTTCAAACCTAGTACTTATTATTTTGTATTTGTCGTTGTTTTGTTTTTTTTTTTTTATATGTTTGTTAATTTTGACATTCTAAGCGATTCTCTTTCACACTGCTGGTGGGTATTATGGATATTTTTGGTTTTATTTTTATATTTTCATTGTGTTCATATTTTCTTTTATTATTATTATTATTATTTTATATATTATTATTATATTATTACTATATATTGCTGAATTTATATAGGTACATATTTTATTATATTTAATGTTGCAAACTAATGATAATAATGGTAACGATTTTTTGAGTGATGAGTCGGATTTTCTTTCGGCGTCTTCGCATAGTAGTTTTCACAGTTTGTCACAACCGTTAGATGAACTTCTGGAATCTAACTTTTCAACTGTTGCGAAAAATTTTAATGCAGTCCATATAAATGCCCAAAGTATTCCAGCGCATTACACTGATTTGGTGAGCACTTTCTCTAATAGCCAGAACATTAACGCCATCTTGGTTTCGGAAACTTTTTTAAAACCATGTCTCCCTTCTTCCTATTCCCTTCCTGGTTTCCATCTCATTCGTAATGACAGGACTGGCAAGGGTGGCGGAGGAGTTGCTATATATCTTAAGAGTAATCTTCCTTTCAGTATTCTTGACAAATCCCCCTCTCTTTATTCTGAATCTTCGGAACATCTTTTTGTGGAGGTGCTTTTGGGCCATCAGAAGCTCCTTTTGGGAGTTTTTTATAGTCCAAACCTACATATTGATTATTTCAGTAAATTTGAGACTTTGTTGGAAGATTTGGTACCCACGGTTGATCATACAGTTATTATGGGTGATTTTAACACCTGTCTGTTCAAACACGACTCCCGTTCTGCTCGACTTCGCTCAATCGTGGATTCTATTAATCTGAACATTCTTCCGTCTTCCTCAACACATCACTTTCCTGACTGCCAGCCGTCTTTGTTGGACCTTGCCATTGTCTCTTCTACTAATCATGTAACTGCTCACGGTCAACTTCCGGCCGAGGCCTTCTCCTATCATGACCTTATTTACCTTTCGTACAGAATCCGTTGTCCTAAGCCTAAACCACGAGTGGTCATGCAGCGCAGTTTCAGGAACTTTGATGAGGAAAGATTTATGCTTGACCTTAACGGTATTGACTGGGACGCTGTACTTAGAGCCCCTGCTATAGATCAGAAGATGGAAATTTTCAACTCGATACTAATACAGCTATATGATATACATGCTCCACTCCGTCCTGTTCGATTGAAACATCTTCCTGCCCCTTGGCTCACTGCAGAAATTAGGGCATTGATGAACAAGCGCAATCTTGCTAAGGTGCGGTATAGAAACGATCCTTCAGATGAAACCCACCGTAGATGTAAGGAACTTCGCAACCGCTGTAGCAGGGTGTGCAGGGATGCGCAGCGCCGTCACATACATGCCTCGGTTTCTAATGGTGATCCTGCTAAGGTATGGTCTTTCCTAAATTCCCTTGGTATTGGCAAATCAAAATCTCCTACTCCCTTTAATCTTGACCTTAACTCCTTGAACTCGCATTTCACAACGCCTTCCTCTCTTTCTTCTAGTATCAAGCAATCTACGCTACAGTCACTTTCTACCGCCCATGACTCACAACATCCGGTTTTCTCCTTTAGGCCTGTGTCCGAGAGTGAAGTTGAGAAAAACATCTTGGCCATAAAATCCAATGCTGAAGGACTGGATGGAATAAACCGTAGGATGATGTTACATGGTTCTTCTATTCTGGTTCCTATACTTTGCCATATTTTCAACTTTTCTCTTGACACTGGCACTTTCCCGTCATGTTGGCGTCAGGCTGCTGTAGTCCCTGTTCCTAAAACCTCTAATCCATCTCTACCCTCTCATTTTCGTCCTATTTCTATTCTTCCGTTCCTTTCCAAAGTTCTTGAGCGTCTTGTCCATAATCAGATCACAATTTTCATGAACTTCAATAATATCCTTAGCCCTTTCCAGTCTGGTTTCCGCTCGGGGCATAGCACTGTGTCTGCCTTGACCAAGGTGTCTGACGACATTCGCGAAGGTATGTCGTCTCAGCATCTGACAGTATTAGTTCTTTTAGACTTCAGCAACGCCTTCAACACTGTTGACTTCGACATCCTTTTAGCAATGTTAAAATCTATCCTGGTATCAGATTCGGTTGTGGAGTGGTTTCGCCACTATCTCGTTGGGCGAAGGCAATGTGTACGTGTCGATAGCAAGCATTCTACCTTCTGTGATGTTACTGCTGGTGTGCCTCAGGGTGGGGTCCTCTCTCCTCTTCTTTTTTCAATATTTATTAACTCCCTTACTCCCTTGCTTTCTTGTCAGTATCATTTGTATGCTGACGATCTTCAGATCTATTCCCGGTCTCCTGTGCATGGTTTAGATAGTTTAATTGCTGAACTTAATGACGACCTTGCGACAATACACAATTGGAGTCGAACCCATGGCCTTACAGTCAATCCCAACAAGTCGCAAGCCATCGTCATTGGTGGCTCGAAGCAGATAGCTAAGATAAATTATACGTCTGTTCCCTCGCTCGTCTTTGACTCCTTCCCTTTACCTTTCAGCAGTGTTGTCAAAAACCTTGGCGTTCTCTTTGACTCCACCCTGTCTTGGGCGCCACATATCGCTGAGGTTAGTAGAAAGGTGTTTGCTGCCTCCGGTTCATTGCGACGGTGGAAAAATCTGATTCCTGTGAAGACCAAGATTGAACTCGCGCAATCGCTGCTCCTACCTATTATGGATTATGCTGATGTCTGTGTTATTGACCTCAATGATGATCTATTAGGCAAGCTCCAACGTCTGCAGAATCTTTGCATCCGATTCATATACGGGTTGCGCAAGTTCGATCATGTGTCTGAGTATAGGAGAAGGCTTCAGTGGCTTTCTATCAAGCAGCGCCGTGAGGAGCACGTTCTCAGTTTCCTTTATAATGTACTGTATGACCCTCGAAGCCCACCTTACCTTAAGGAACGTTTTCGTTTTCTCGGTGAAGATCACAATCGCGAACTAAGGTCCAAGGCGGATAACTTGCTGAAATCTCCCTTCACCCGGTCAGGATACTACATGAACTCCTTTACGATTATGGCTGCACAATTGTGGAACGAACTTCCGTCTGAAATACGACATTCCAAGTCGCTTCTTATTTTTAAAACTGCATTGCGTAACTATCTTCTGAAATGTTCCTAGTATGCAACATGTATTTATATATTTATTGGTAAGTATAAGTATATTTAGGTATATATATTTCTTTATTATTTACAAATATATATGTAAGTCTAGTACATCGTTATTTATTTATTTATTATTATATATATATATATATATATATATTATACTACTTATACGTTTCTGACTTTGGCACACTACCTCTTCTCCTTAGATTAGCTTTCCTATACCTCAAAGGTTGTCTGGAAGAGATCGCTCTTAGCGATAAGACCGCCTTTGCCCACATTAGTTTTAAGTTGTCTATGTACTGTTTTTGTTATTGTATGTGAGCAATAAAGTGTATATCTATCTATCTATTCCTTGAAAAATATTAAAAACAAGTTTAACTACGAGTATTTACTTCGTAATAATCTATTACCTACAAAGTACTAAAAAAACCGACCTCAAGCGTCATTCACCCCTAGTTTGCCACCTTTAGAGGTGAAATATTTTCTTCAAATTTAAATGGGACCACTTCTGAGGTACCGTCTTCCCAACAAAAAAAGAATTATCAAAATCGGTTCACAAATGCCGTTATTGTATAACATACATACATACAAAAAAATCTAATTGAGAACCTCTTTTTTTTAAGTCGGTTAAAAATAATTCAACTTGACTTCAACATTTCAACAACATATATACCTAAATATAAATTAATTATCTCCTTTCAAGTAATTCAACCGACTTTAAACAGAAAGGATATACAAAAGCCCTCCCATATTTGTCCCGAGTACAATATGATGTGATTTTCCAGAAGAAAACATTAAAAATATAGTATGGCCTACAGCGCACGTCTATTCAAATGGGCGCCACAAAACTCAGTCCTTAACTTTACGCTTTCAGCTGCTTCCACCCATACAAGCACACATTAAACTATGATGATACATTTTTTTATATTTTACAGAAAAACCGTATAAAAACACCTCAATCAGAATTTCTGCTTTCTGAACTAGAAGTTGTTCTTGGAATGGAGTTGTGTGCTGAAATCTATACGGCTAATTACAAAATCAAAGGCTTTTTTGTCCCTTGTTACTTTGGGTGTGATTTAGAAGAATTTAGAAAAGAGAAGAACTCAACGAAATGTTCCAGAGCCCATGGGGTAGAAGGCGGAGCTGTATATAATACAAAGACCAATCAACTTTTCGGCGTGACGACCTGGGGTTCTTTTTATTCCAAGCATGAAATGCCATGGGGTTTCTCCATACCAAATTCGGAAAATTTCTTTATGGACAAGCAATGTGCCATTAAGATACGTGATGATAAAACAGTAGACTTAAAGCCTGGTTATTTGCAAACATTATGTCCCAATTAATTATATTTTTTTTAAATTAAAAGTAAGCGTAGAAACCTGGTAGAAAGTGACGATGAGGTCGACGATGAGCATGCACGCCTAAATAATGCCTATTCACTCTCGCCTTGAAAAGGTCCAAGTTATAACTTTCAGGGAACAAATCCGCAAGCAGGGAATTCCAACCCCATAGCCGTTCGCCATATAAATGTGGAAGCAAAACGCTTCGTGCGAATCCCTGGAATATCCATAAAATAAGAGTGGAATCCCAGCCTACGCCTAGTCCCCCGATGTTGGAAAGGGAACGTGGAATCAAATTATGCAATTCCATCACACACTCTCCGTGATATATCCTGTAGAATACCCATAAGCAGGCAACTTAGCTATAAGCCTCTTGACACGTTTGTCGATTGATGCCAAGGTGGCCAGTTGGTATTTAGCAGAGCCATCCCATAAGTGACAGCAGTACTCCATACACAATTTAAGGAGCTTTGGAACAAAAATCAATAAATATGATCCATTTCGATTCAGATTTAATCTAGTTTTACTGAATGGATTTGTCGCATTGTGTAAACATGTTTTTAAAGAGGATTTAGCGGTTGTTAATCAGATTGGAAACGGAAAAAATAAAAATGTGACTTAGCAGATTTTGTTCCGACACTCCTCTAATTGAACCAAGGATTCAAACAAAAGTTAATTATTTATTACGTAGACAATATATTTAATAAGAACCGTATAGTCTATGAAATAAAAAAAAATCTAAAAATTACTTCTTTATGTTACTCTGGAATGTGGAAATTGAACTTAAATTTTGATCCATTAAAATTGAATTTTGACTCATTGGCATGAAAATCTTTCTTGGGAACTTGGTAGTCTCCACAATTGGATACAAGATTTGTACTATTTGTTGTGTCGGCATTTGCGGCAGTTCTGGTGACGTCACCTTTATCAACCTGATCTGGGGCCAACTCGAAATTAAACCTAAATGAATCATTACCAGTTGCCATAAATGTTGATTTCCTTAAGAATGTGGCTTTAGGTGGTGTTGGTTTTTCTTTGATCTTCATTTTACTAATCACTGAAAAAGAAAAATATTTTTAAATAAAAAACAATAGTTTAATTTTATACTTTCATTCTTTTAAAATCTCAAAGTTACTATTAAATCAAATGCCTTTATTATTCCTAATCAGTAAATTCAGTTTTAAATATCACTGAAGTTACAATACTATGAGATTTAGATTTATTACATTACACATTGTCATTTCAACTTCTGTATGTATCTATTATAAGATCAATACCATTGTGATTGGAAATAAATGATTATTATTATTATTATATCGAGTTCTTAGGTTTTCGCGATTGTTACACATAGGAAATGAAACTATTTTTCCGGATTTAAATCGCGTATATTTGTTTTTTCAAACAAACCGACGTTTCGGGCCCTTTACAGGTCCCATGGTCACGGTTGACTGAGGTTTGTTTGAAAAAACAAATATACGCGATTTAAATCCGGAAAAATAGTTTCACTTCCTATATTATTATTATTATTATTAAAATTTAATTTTTATTATATCACATATTTATATTATTTATACATTTATTATTACCCCAAGGAGTCCTTATCTAAAATAATAATAAAATTTGGATTCCCTAGAAAAATAAAAAAACTAAAAAACTGTCAAAAAAAAAAAGAAAACTTGCAGAAATTTGTCAGATATTTACATAGACGTACACACATTCATACATATGTAGACACACAAATGCGCTTACTCTACTATAGTCCATTTGCTTATTATATTGTAAGTCGCTTCATTTAAAAAATATAGTAATTAAAAATTGTCTAAATCTATTAATACAACGGAATTCAGTTATAATATGTTATCAATATATATTTCAAGTTGTTACATTGTTCTGTGATAAACAATATTTGAAGTTGCTTCATTCTGGCATCGAATTAGTTTTTGTATAATGTAAAAAATAAATTTTTATCTGACAAACTTTGTAATTGGCTATGTAAGTACATTATTCAGAATTGTAAACCAAATTTAAAAGCTGCAAAATTTGCAAACAAATAAATAAATAAATTTAAAATTTAGCAGTGTATTAACTCATTTTATTCAAATTGTACTTTAAAATTATGGTTAAATATTTAAATATGTAATATGTTTATTTGAATAAAGAAGTGGCTCTTAATATGGCTATGTGTCCCCATTGCCTTTTTTGTTTCATTACATATTGTATAAAAAAAAATACACTCGACCATTAAAAAATCCAAAAACAACTTACTTTTGGGTAATTTTTTCTCTTCCACTGCCATTGCAGCACGATAGTCTCCAAAGTATGTTCTCATAACTTGCCTCTTGCGTATTATTGGTTGATTATTGTTCTTTAATATTGTTAGCACTTTCCATGCATCTTGTACTATAAGAAATTATGAATTTTAAGTGTTTTTATCAAGTTGAATCCGAATTCAATACTTCTTCTAACTTGAATTATCAGTAAATTTACAGTATAGCTGTCTATAAAAAGAGAATCTTCTCTAACTCTGTCCCTTCTACATTCATAGTAACAAAATTATTAAAACTAACAAATAAAGCAATGACACACACACTGTGCAATATCTGAGACAACTAATTGATGCATATTATGCAATAAATTACTCAATGAATAAAAATTATTCTACACTAAATATAATAATTTTATAATAAACTTAATTAATTAATAAGTATATCAGGCATGCGTTGCAATACCAGAGAGGAAAACTGTTTGCTTATCTGTCTTCTTGGCTGTAGCCATAGTAGTTAAAACAACTGGACTGCCAAGTATTTTAAAATTGTTATAATAGAAAGAAAGTTTGTGAAGTATTCTTTAGAAACTTTCGAGGGAGTAGGCACAAGACTTGTCTCATGAGTTTTATGGCAATTGGATGAATATATAAACAATCATTGATTTAAATATATATAAATTGTCACCATAAATATATGGGCACCTTCAAGTTATAAACATAAACAACTTATACAACATAGGCAGCTTACAGCTTTTTTCAGATTCATTCCCATTTTTCTGGCTTACAGTCTTTTCAAGTTTCTGTATACACCAACAAAGTTCTAACTCGAATTGTCTGACCGCAGCTTCATGATCAATTTCGCCTGATGACTTTTTGTCACCCGTAGCATTTGGAAGTTTTTGGATAGAAGTAGGTCGTCCTTTTGTGTGCAGCTTTGTCGGTTTCGGCATTTTCACAGTGTATTCTATGTAATTCTTGTAAAAGTGGTAGGTACAGTGCACAAAAGCCTACACGTTTCTTTTATTGTTTTGACTGGTTTTGACCCACTGACGTTAGTGACATACGTGACATATGATTTTTTTTTTAATTT